GACACGGCATCTCCCGACCTCAGAAAGGCACCAAGTGCAGACACCAAAAAGCAAGGAGAATCGCCTTAGGTCGAACGCTTATTCACCCGCCCAGCACTGTGTGGTCTTCCGTCCGCATCGATAAGCTGCGGCGCCGACTTCTGAGTTTTGTTGACTTCTGTGCCGTAGAAGAGCCCATGCCGACACTCACTTCGAGCGCCGTAAAGACGTCGAACGAACGGGGCAACAGCGGTGGTCGCGCGGCGGGCGGGGGCCTTTTTTTTTACAACAAAAAGAGGGCTACACACGGCCCTCTACGCTGGGGCGCCGGCGCCCTACTGGGCGCCCCCCGCTCCCTTCCCCTTAGAGCCCCCCATCCCACTAGCATTCCCCCGCGGTCCCTCGCGGTCGCGCGACGCCGCACCAATGGCGCGCTGTGCCTCGTCCGCGAGCGCCGTCCAGAGCTGCACCGACAGTCGCTGCAGCGCAAACGGCATCCATTCGCGCGCCGACCACGACGTCTGGTCGTACTGCCACCACGTGAGCTTCCGGCCCGCCACCTTAGCCACCCGCATCAGCAGCTCCTCCACCCCCGCGCTCATTGCGCCGAACTCCTCGAAGAGCAGCGCCTCCACGCGGCACTTCCCCTCTGCGTCGGTGTACTGGCCCTTGACAGCCTCGACCGTCCCGGTCCCCGTCCGCGGGTCCCACATCCCCACCCTCCCGCCCCTGTCCCCGCCCTCCACGCCCAGAACCGTCTCGCGGGCGCGTGGCAGCGTGTTGCCGCAAGCGACAAACGCCCCCATGCGCCCCACCCCCGAGGGGTCCGACGGCACACCGGCGAAGATCTTCGTGTCGCCGATGCAGGGCAGGTCCCCGATCACGCCCTGGTAAATGTACAAGTCCGTCCTCGTAGTGCTGTGCTCGCAGTGAAACTCGTGCTCCACCGCGCCGCGCCCCAGCTTGCCCCGCAGCAACTCGACAAGGTCCAGGAGGACCTCCTTGTGCCGCGTCTGGTGGCCCGCCGCGCCGTCGTTCTGCGCCACGTCGGGACTGGAGAAGGAGCGGAGGTGACTCGAGCCTACTCTCAACATACCGCTCTAAGATCAGACAGGCAAGAGGGTGTGGGCTGGGTCACTTGGGGCTACGGCCCTGACTCCGAAATAGGTGCGACGCAGTGCTGAGCACGGTACGTGGTGATGCGAGGCGCGGCGGCGCGGCGCGGCGGCGCGGCGGCGGGCGACGCAGGGCGGGGCGGCGCGAACACCTGCACTGGCCTCTGGTCTCTGGCCTTTGGAGCGGGGCAGTGGTCGCGTCGCCCATGTCCGGACCAACACCCCGACCGGCGAAGACGGAATATACTCCGTGCCGGCGGCCCCGTCGGCGGCGGCGCCGATCGGATCGCGTCGCGCCGGCGGGGGTGGTGACTGAGCGGGCAATGGCTCCGCTGGCCGGCGCTAGGTCGCGCCAGCGGGGAACAGGTAAGTCAGGCGGCATCGACGCTGAACGGTCACGAAACCCACCCCACCACACTGAAAGACCACCGGCCAGTTGACGACACACTCCCAGGCGCCCGCCGATGAAGCTGGGAGGATGTATGGAGGAATGGTAATGTTTACCTCTCCAGATTGGTTGAGCCCCGGCATCGATGGCGGGAAGAGGGAGGGTCCCCGCCCCTATCCCTCAGTTTAATCCCCGAGAGGAGAGGCAGAGCCTCTGGCGCGGTGAGAACACCCGTACGCTCTCAAGGCCGACCCCCCCCCCTCTCCAGTTCAGATCACGACCCCCTCGGAGGGAGCCGGGCGAGGCGTACCCCGAGGGCCCCGCTCTTTCCCGGCAGCGGCGCGCGCGCACACACACAAAGACGCTGCCCCCTCACACCCCGCACCGCACATCACACACCCCTCGTGGCCGTTCTTCAGTCTGCGGCCAGGGCGCGCTGCACCGGGCCAACCTGCGGCCGTCGCTACGAGCGGCGGGGCTCACCGCGGGGCAGCGCGCCGACGACGTCGAATGCGCCGCCGTGGCATCGCGGCGCCGACGACCAGGCTCAGAGGATGACCCCGGGTAAGCGTTCCCGTGCCTCGACAATTGCCGCTGGTAGGCGCGCCGCGCCGAACCATGGCGGGCGCGCCGCGGCCGCGCGCAACCTTCGTCACAATGCCAACCGCGCGCGGCCGTCGACCGGCAAGCACACGCCTCGACTCGGACACACTGTTCCGAGGGCAAGGGAGAGGGGCTGGCCCCTAGCCCTAGAGGAGAGCTTCCGAGACCCACTACAAGACCACGCACGCATCATCCCGCGGCCTGGCGGTCGGCGGGATTGCAACCAGTCTTCGCGTGCCGCCTGTCGTTCGATTCGGGCGCCTTGGGCGTCGGGGTGGCGAGCAGGGGACGCGGCTCGGAGCGCCCAGCGACGCGTGCCGGATGGAGTCCGGCCGCGGGTGACTAGGGAAGTTCGCTCAGGATGTGTGGCAGTCAGTTTGGCTGAGTGTCTTGTCTTGTGGTTCTGTGTGTCGCTCCTGTGTGACCGTCATCGCCCGTCTAGCGTCCACCCATACCGCGTTGGTGTCCCAGTCGTTGGTCGGACTGTGTTTCGCCTTCCCATCAATCAATCAATCAACGGAGAGACGAGGGAGGAAACCGGCAGCAAGAGAGACGATAGAGACGAGTTCATTTTATTATCAAGAGAGACGAGAGGACTATGACACCCGCCATAAAAACGGTATGGTGGGTGGAGGGCTCTCTGCTGCCGCGGCGCCCCCGTCGGTGCGAAGGCGCCCGGCCGGCGGCCGCGCGCTTGGTGCCCACGCCGACCGGCTGCTCTCGCGGCGCCGAGGCGCACCGCTCCGGTGACGACTCGCGCGCTGCGAGGTGTCTTTTGGCATGTGAGCGCTGGCTAGATAGAGACGCCAGGAAGCTCGTCTTCCATGTCTGTCTGCGGCCGCGGGCGTGCGGGCGGGCTCGCCGGGCTGGGCGAAGCTCCGAGCGGGTCTTCGAGCTCGCGGCCCGCGACGAGCCAGCATGGCTCGTCGCTCGACGGGAGCCTGCCCAGTATGCTCTTGGCATTCTGTACAGCCTCGCCAAGCTCTCTGGGAAGGTCTACAGGGCCAGGGCGGGCCGCCTCGGGTGCGATGGCGCGCTGAATAGTACCATGACTACGAGCTCTCGATCGGGTTGCCGGCAGCGGGCTTGCGCGGCGCGCTGCTTGACGGCAGGCTGCTCCCCACCCTTTCAACAGTGTCTTTTGCCTCGCTTCTCTCGCTGCAACCGCCTCCGGGGGCCGGCGCCGGCCGCCTCGTTTCGCCAGCGCTGACTACGCCTACGACGCGCGCATCGGCTCGCCGCCCGCGTCGCCTGCGGCGGGCCAGCTTGGCGCGCCGCTCGTTGGGAGCGTGCTCAGCAGGCTGTGCAGCGCAGCCTGACTCACTCAGGGCGCCTGATGCGGCGTGGGGCCGCCGGCGGCGCTGCTGCCGCGCACGCTGCGCACCGGGCGTCGTGAGCGTCGTCCTGCACGATCGTCCGATGGTGGTGCCGCAAAGTCAGCCTTCGGAGGCTATCGTCGCGTCGAGCCGGCGGTGGCCGTGACATGTGGTTCCACCACCCCTCGTAGGCTTTGCCTCTGACCGCCACCGTTCCCAGCCTAATGGGATGGAAAGGAAGGCTGGGCGAGCGTATAGAAGCGTGCTCGACCTCGTCGTGGCAGCCTGCACGGCAGCGCTGGCTGGCGCGATGAGCGTCGTGCCACCTGACCCGAGACGGGGCGCAGGCGTCGTACCGAGCGCGTCGAGACCGTGCCCTGATGCGCTCTGCACGGGTGAGTCACGTCGGCGTCAAAGGAGCGACGTGTGACCTGTCAGAGCTTGATCTCCGATCTCAGCGGCGTCGAGTCGCCTTCGGTGGCGACAGCTAGGATGCATCTCCTCCGTCGTTTTTCGCGCGATGGCCCTGAGAAGCTGGCGGTGCACGCAGGCGGACCTTCGTCTGAGGACTGAGGACTGAATAGTCAAATTAAGACGTAAGAGTCGTGCTCAAACAAATTCGAAATTGCATTTGCAATTGACAATGCCTCAAATTGAGCAATGAGCGTTGTATGTGGGTTCCATGCAACTTGCAAGAGCGTTTAAACGTACGGGCTAGTTCCATTTCACTCTATGACACGCTAATCTTGAAAACGTCCAACGGAGCTCCGTGTTGCTCCCAGCGCCCTCCCCCGCGCTTCCTGCGGCCCTAGCCGATGATACTAGCATGGGAGGTCATCTGACTACCCCGAAAGCGACCCAACTCGTCGACATCGTCCGATGATGGTGCCGCAAAGTCAGCCTTCGGAGGCTATCGTGGGGTCGAGCCGGCGGTGGCCGTGACATGTGGTTCCACCACCCCTCGTAGGCTTTGCCTCTGACCGCCACCGTTCCCAGCCTAATGGGATGGAAAGGAAGGCTGGGCGAGCGTATAGAAGCGTGCTCGACCTCGTCGTGGCAGCCTGCACGGCAGCGCTGGCTGGCGCGATGAGCGTCGTGCCACCTGACCCGAGACGGGGCGCAGGCGTCGTACCGAGCGCGTCGAGACCGTGCCCTGATGCGCTCTGCACGGGTGAGTCACGTCGGCGTCAAAGGAGCGACGTGTGACCTGTCAGAGCCTGATCTCCGATCTCAGCGACGTCGAGTCGCCTTCGGTGGCGACAGCTAGGATGCATCTCCTCCGTCGTTTTTCGCGCGATGGCCCTGAGAAGCTGGCGGTGCACGCAGGCGGACCTTGTGTGTGCACGGAACGCTTAAAAAGTGGGTGCTCTACGTCACTTTTTTTGAGTAGATAGTGCCGAGCTGGCCGTGACAGCATTTTTCGCAGTTTTAGGCGGGTTTTGCACCACAGACTTTTTGCAACTAGTCGTCTGAGGACTGAGGACTGAATAGTCAAATTAAGACGTAAGAGTCGTGCTCAAACAATGCGCCTCAAATTGAGCAATGAGCGTTGTATGGGTTCCATGCAACTTGCAAGAGCGTTTAAACGTAGTTAGTTCTGACGGGTGTGGCTCAAGCTCGTTCGCTCCCAAATAGCCGCACAAACGGCATGACAACGCGGCACACAGTGAGAGAATGGCAATGCGCCCGAGCTCAAGAAACGGTGCGCGCGTCTGGCGTCTGCGGTCGCAGTCAAGGAAGAAGAGAGAAGTTCACACGCGCGCGCTTCCTGCTCGCTGGCATCCGCCATCATGCGTGTCAGGCGCCCGCCGGAGCGGGCAGAGGGCTTCGATCCGGCGGGCTGCGGACGCGGTGAGCCTACAATCGGTTCTACGTGTTGAATGCACCAACAACTCGGGGCGGGAGCACGGCATAACGTGTCGAAACACCTCTCCGACGCGCTCGACTATAGTCTGTGTGCCGTGACTGTACTCGGAGCACCGCGTGAGTACAGAGGCTGCGAGTGCAGTGCTGACAGCTGAATACGGTCTCGAGTACAGCGGAAGGCGTGTCACACTCTCGAGCGCTGGTTCGGGAGACAGGAATGCGTAGTCCGCTTCTAGGTCGGCGGGCCGCAGCACGCATCTCCCCCATATCTCCCCCATATCTCCCCCATATCTCTCCGCTTCTAGGTCGGCGGGCCGCACTGCGCTGGTAGCGTTCCAGCTCCGCGTCTTCCCCTGTGCGATGTCGAGCGCGAGCTTGTAGATGCTCGGATCTAGCTCGCCTATTCACAGCAGTAGGTGTGAAGAGACGCTGTTCACAGAGCTTGTAGAATCTCGGATCTAGCTCGCGATTCTTGTCGAAGCTCGCGTTCGAGCGCTTGGGCTGCGGGTTGCCGGTGATCGGCTCGCCGCTGTCCGCCCACGCGAAGATGGACGCCTGACGCGCGGCCATCTCGGGCTCATCTCGGGCTCATCTCGGGCCAATCTCGCGGCTCATCTCGGGCTCATCTTGGCTCATCTCGGTCCATCTCGGGCGGAAGTGTCGGGGACGTGTCTGGAGGAGGTGTGTCTCTAGGAGAGGTGTGTGTCAAGGAAGGAGGTGTCACCTCGGTGTAGTAGTCCCGCATCGCGATCTTCATCTTGCCCTTGCCGCCGCTTGCGAAGCGGTTGAGCAGCGAGGAGCCAGCGGCACCCTCTGGCCGCGCGGCGCGCGCGTCGTCCTTCTCCTTGGCTCGGTGGTGGTGGTGGTGGTGGTGGTGGTTGCCCGCCTAATCTCGGCAGATCTCGGCTCATCTCCCGGGCCGCCAGCTCCTCGCCCCGCCAGCTCCTCGCGCCGCCCCGCGGGCGCACTCTGCTTCACTGCACGTCCTCCCACAGCCCCCGCGCTGACTTCATCGCCCCCGCGTCCCCTGTCGCTAGTGTGTCGTGGGGGGCGTGGAGAGGGGGGTGCGATCTTGGAAGGACACAGTGAGGAGGACCACACAACACTGCCTACCGCCACCGCTGCAGCTCGCGCGCCTTCTCCAGCTGCTCGTCCCCGGAGGGCTGCTGCCCCCCGGAGCCACTCACAGCTCGCTGGTGGGCAGCAGCGAGGCCAGCGTGCTCGATCGCGTCGAGACGGTGCCGCTTGTGGTCGCGGATGTAGGTCACACTGTACCCGCTGAGCTTCTTCCAGAGCAGCTCGATCGCCTAGTGGCAGCAGCAGCAGTAGCAGCAGCAGCAGCAGCAGCAGCAGCAGCAGCAGCAGCAGCAGCAGCAGCAGCAGCAGCAGCAGCAGCAGCAGATCACTTGCGTGGAGAGGTGCGCTAGGAGTTGCGACCATCTAGTCCTTCGTGCGCGGCGCCTCGTGCGTGAAGCGGAAGTGGGCGATGTCCGGCACCCTGTACTCCTGCGGAGAAGAAGTGCAGCGGAGGGGAGTGAGGAGCTAGTTACTCCAACTACTAGCGGCGCCGCGTGCTGCGGAGCAGTAGCAGCTGCCGGGTACTTCCTGCTGCAGAACTCGTACTCTGCGACTCCGACTCCGCGAGAGGAGGGGACCTCGGGCAGTCTCGGGCAATCTCCCGCCATCTCGGGCCATCTCGGGCCCTCTCGGGCCCCCTGGGTCACATCTCGGGCCATCTCGAGGCTCATCTCGGCCGACTCTCGGCCACTCTCGGCGTATCTCGGCGTATCTCGGCGTATCTCGGCGTATCTCGGCGTATCTCGGGCCAGTCTCTCGCCTGGAGCTCGCACTCGTGCTTCTCGTCCGGCGCGGCGTCGTCGATGCACGTGCAGCTGTGCGAGCTCTGGTACTGCACGCGCCTGCTCTCAATGAGCAAGGTCATGACTTGTTCATGCTAACCAGGCTGTCTGCATGACTAGCTCTGGTGGCACTGCACACGCGCCTCCCTCGCTGGTCTCTCACCGAGAAGAGCAGGTTCTTCTGGTAGCCTGTGTGTGCCAAGGGGGGTGGCAGGGGGGTGGCAGGGGGGGTGGCAGGGGGGGTGGCTGGGGGTGGCAGGGGGGGTGGCAGGGGGGGTGGCTGGGGGTGGCAGGGGGGTGCCAGGGGGGTGGCAAGGACGTGCCCAAGATCTGGTCTCCGGCACAGAGAGAGCCACTCCAGCCCCACCTCTCTTCTGTGTGTCGCGTGGGCTGCTGGCCCCCACCTACCCCCGGGAGGGGGGGAGAAGCCACGAGGAGAGCAGCTCTCCTCTTTCAGGTGTCTAGCCAGGCCGCGCCCAGGCTGAGCGCGGTGCCGAAGACGCCGCGCCTGGTCGCGCGCGGGGTGTGGAGATGGGTCAGGTCCCCTTGCGAATTAAGATGTGCCTGCTACTGCCACCACTACTACTACCACTACTACTACTACTACCACTACTCCTACTACTACTACTACTGCTACTGCTACTACTCCTACTACACCACCACAAGGGTGCCTGGCGCCGCTGGCGATGATGGGGCACGCGACAGGGTACTGCGCGTGGATCGGTCGCACGCTGGCCGGCTGGAGCCGCGGGAACGGGTCGCAGGCCCAGTGGCGCGGCAGCCGCTCGCGGAACTTTGCGGTGAGGAGGAACTTGCGCTCCGAGCGGGCGAGGAGGTCGCCGACGCGGCACGGGAGGGCGAAGAACTCGTCCAGGTCCGGGTACATGAGGAGCGCCTCGTCGGGCAGCGTGCGCAGGTACCCGTTGGCGAGCAGCGCCTTGATCTGGCTCGTGTATCGCGGCGAGCTGCGGAACGGGATGGACTTGCCGCGCAAGTACGCCACCGACGCCTGCTCGCGCGCGGCTACCTCGGCCGCGCCCGTGAGGTGGAGGACGAGGCGCGAGTTGGTGGCAAAGTTGATGCCCAGCGCCGAGTAGTGGGAGACAAAGTGCTCGAGCAGCACGTCCTCGGAGCCGGCGGCGAACGCAAAGAAGTAGGTGCGTGCGGCTGCGCTGCCCGTCAGCCGGCCACCGCCGATCCTCCATTCGTTCGATTTCGACCCGGGCAGGGTGCTGTTCTTACTATTCGGGCAGCGGCCGGCGCCGGTCGCGCTGAATCGCGGGCGGGCGCCACCGGTCGCGCTTGCGTTGAACCTCGGTCCGCCCGCTCGCGATCCGAACGCACTCCTGATCTTGGCCACCGCGGACTGCAGCCGCGAGCTCGCCGCGCAGGGGGCCGCGACCCAGCAGAGCAGCAGCAGCGTCAAAGAGTTCATGTGCCGGGCACACCCACCGCTTGAGAGGCGCCACAAAAAAGAATTTAGTGTGCGGCAGCACAGGAGGGGAGGGGAGGGGAGGGGAGGGAGAGGGCAGCCCAAGCACCCGGCGAGCGCGGCGAATGCGCTTCCCTGGGTCTCGGGCTTCTTCTTCGTCTTCTCCTTCATCGCCGGCGGTGGCTGCGACGCCGCCGCCGGCGCCGCCGCCGACTGCGACGACGACGACGATGGGGCCGGCCTCCAGCTACCGGCGACCTCCTGCTTGGTGTGGAGGTAGCTGCCCCGCCCCGCCTTCCCGTTCTTGCCCCACTGCTGCGCGCCTTGTCCCTTGAACGTGAGGAGCAAGAGAAAGCGCGCAAAACCGCGGAGTCGGAGGGAGCTCGGGCCGTCTCGAAGGGCCGTCCAGCCCACGCCACGAGGCGCTGCTGGCGGGAGCCAAGAAGGACTCGTAAAGGCCTCAGAGTGCCATCTGAAGCGGCGGCACTGGTGGGGCTAGAGGGGCTGACTGAGCGCCGGTGGGGCGGCTGAAGCTTGCCTGGCACGGGTTCTCGCGGCGCGTCCGAGCGTGTACCACGCGTCCAGGGCGCTGTTCCCACACCGCTCTGAGCGACAAGGGTGTGCGTGGCGCGGTGGAGGAGCGTGAGATGATCTATAGCGAGCCTCCCTCTCGCACGTCCGGTGAGCGGCAGAACCGGCCATCCCGCACGACGAGGGCGACGCGTGAAGGTGCGCACGCCATAAGGCAGCTGCGGGCCAGCACGTTGCATGGGATGATAGCGGCTGAGGGGGCCTGAGCATCGACGCGCCGCCGACAATGCACCTGAGGCCGCAAACGGCCAGGAGGAACCACGCGATGACGAGCGGGGATGGAGTGGCAGATTTCTGGGAACAGTAGGGTCCCTAGTGGGATGAGGCAGACTCCCAGGATCCCGACGCACGGAGTACGACACCGGCGATCGCTCCACGCCGCGATCGCTCGCAGGTTTGCTGCCACGAGAAAAGAGGCGCGTCATCACCTCCCCGCACCTCCGCACGGTTCAGGGGCGGATGCCGGCAGCAAGGCGCTCTCTTCTCCTGCTGCTGAGACACCAGTACTGTATGAATGTATGTTGTGTGCGCGGCGGCGGCGGCGGCGTTCGTCAAGAGTGGAGGCTGGGGCGTGCGGCTGCCGGCTGGAGCTGGAGCGGGCGCAGGGGTGGGGCGTGGGGGGAATTGATTAGGAACAAACAGCACGGGAGAATAGGCGCCACACTGGGGCGCAACGAGGCTCATGCAAGATAACACTGGCGGCGGCGCGGCGTGCACGCGCGCGTACACAGACTCAGAGAGTGTGTGGGGGGGGACACAGTGCACCCACACACACATATCAGAGAGCGGTCAAGACAGCGGCACTGCACGCACCGCACACCGGGGCACAAGGAGCACGGGAAAAGAAAACGGAAACACGCAAACAGGCAGTGCTGGCCTCTCACGTGGGGCTCTCGCGGCAGTACAGGCTGCAAGAGGGACCATCCCGCATCCGAGGGGAAAATCGTGCGGAGCATGATGCGGAGATATCAGCATGCTACAGGTCCGCGCGGGATGAGCATGGAGCGGCGGCGACTGCTACTGGCCATGGGTCGCGGGGGATGGAACATGGTCCATGTGGATGCGGGCGCCGCAGTCGCAGCCCGGGCGGAAGGGGGCGGCGGCGGCTAGCGCTAGGCGGGCGAGGAACGTGCCTTAGCGGAGCATGCCATCAAAGTTGCTCCAAGTGCCGACTCCGAGGGCACGAAACGCAGACTCGACGGACGAGTCGTCCGGCATGTCGAGCGAGAGCGACACCTCGGGATCGGGGTAGGGGTCGGACGCCCCGACCAAAAATGCAGCGGGGTCAGGCTCGAAAGGGAGCTTCCCCCTCGCGGCGTGCGTCCAGCACCGCGCCGGCCCCGCCTCCTCCTCCCGTAGTCGCAAGAGGATTGGCGCGAGGGCCCGGGGGGGTCGCAGGCGGCTCGCGCGAACGAGGCGTCGGCTTCGGGCTAGCGGGGCTCGGCGCTGAGCCGCCGCCGCTCTCCGACTTGGCCACGAGAGGAGGCGAGGACGTCGAGGGATGCGACGCAAGCGGCAGTGGCGAAGCTGCTTGCCGATCCGTCCAGCCCCAAGCGGCGCGGGTGTGGGTGCTGGCGCGTGCGTGTGACGTGCCGCCGCCGCCGCCGCTGCCGAGCTCATCAGGTGCAAGAGCATCTCTCGTGAGCGCCTCGACGCCGTCGAGTGCTGCGTCCGTCAGGCGTGCCTTCTTTGGAGACGGGGTGTCGTGGCTCGCAGGACAGAGAGGCTTGAGTTCTTTCATTAGTCCGGAGCCTCTAGCACTCCTTGCCTCGGCTGTTCTCCGACCTGCACTATTTCGCGAAACCAACAGCACATTTTGGCGCCGTTCACAGCGCCGCGTTTGATCGCACTCGCTAGCGTGCGCGCCTGTGGCTGCTGGGAGCGCTAATCACGTTGAGCCAGCTCTCGCAACTATCGCCAAAATTCAACCACAGCAACCAGCATGTCTAATTACACAAGAGAGGCGGGACCAACATCCTCTCTTGATTTGTATGCAAAGAGCGATGGCGCGCGCGAGCACGGGCGAGAGCCAGCGCGCAGCGGTCTACCGGAGCTCGGCGGCGCGCCTCCCATCTCCGGTCAGAGCCCTCCGCCCATCTCGACGCCGAGCGCCTCGAGCTCTGCGCGCGCGGCCGCCTGCGCGCCGGGCGTCTCGAGGAACTTGTCCCAATGGTTCTCGCCGCCCGCCTCGCCCTGCGCCAGGCAGTGCGCCTCGCCAACCTCGCCCGTGAAGAGGACGCCTGATGGAGCAAGAACGCTGCGAGTGCAGGAAAGAGAGGGAACGGCACGGCGCTCGACCGTGCGACGAGGAGCCCCAACTTGGACGGAGCAAGTGCAGGCCGCGCAACTGGTGTACCGTGGCTATCTCTCGGCTCTCTCTCGGCTGTCTCTCGGCTCTCTCTCTCTCTCTCTCGGCTCTCTCTCGCCCAGCTGGACGGAGCAGCGCAGGTCGCGCAGCGCCGCCTTAGCGAGGTTGTGCATGTAGTCGTCCGCGTGTGCGTTCATCACCTCGCGGATGGGCGCCTCAACGCCAAAAAAAGCATGGCATTTGGAAAGGGGAGGGGAGGGGTGTGTCGAGACATGCCGCAGCGCAGAGGGTGTGTGGGCAAGGCGGGAGGGCGGAGGAGGAGGAGGGCTGGGTGGAGGCTCCGGGCGGAGCATGCACAGGGAAGGGGGGCGGGGGAAGGGTGGGGGGGGGTCGGAGCGCCTCGGCGCCCGCGTCCAGGATCGGCTCGACCAGCTCCGGGTTGCGGCCGACCAAGTTGCGGATCGCAAGGCACGCCTGCGGGGGGGGGGGGGGGGGCATGCCGCGGGGTCGTGCCGTGACGTGCCTCGGTCGTGCCGTGGGCGTGTCGTGGGCGTGTCGTGGGCGTGTCGTGGACGTGTCGCGCACACAGCCTCGAAGGCATGCTCTGCAGCTCCCAAGTGTTGCTCCTCATCTGAGGCGCTCCTCTCGGCGGATCTCGGCGTATCTCGGCTGCTCCGAGGCCTTGGACTGCATGCGGGGCAGCGCCAGGTGCTGGCTCAGCGCGCTGACAATGGCTGGAATGCCGCCGCACTCTGCGATGGCGGCGCAGTTCTCGGGCTTGCGCAGCGCCATGTTGCCGAGCGCAGAGACGCCGTCGGTCTGCATCGACCCGACGTGCGCATGCAGCAGCATCGCCTAGCAGGGGGCCATGTCTCCCCACATCTCCCCACATCTCCCCACATCTCCCCACATCTCCCCACATCTCCCCATATCTCCCCACATCTCCCCATGTCTCGCCTAGCAGAGGGGCCAGCAGAGACAAGTCATGGGCGGGGCCTGCTGGAGTGCAGCAGCATCGGTAGCAAGGAGACGAGGACTCACCGACGAAGTGCTACTCGCAGGGGGGCTACGCCCAAGCAGGGGCGCGAGTGTGGCATCGCCTGCACGATGGCGATGTGGCCGCTCCCCTCGCGGATCGACTCCTTGCACTTGTCGTTGCCGGAGATGTTTGCGAGGAAGAAGCACGCCTGCTTGGCCACCTGCGCGCCCGTCACGCGTGCTTGTGAGCACAGCACCAGAAGGCTCGAGGAGCCGCTAACCAGACCCGCCTGCGCGTCCGTCACGTGGTTCGCGAGCTCGCTGATCGCCAGCTTGAGCGCGTCCATCTTTGCGAGCTGCTGGCAGATCGTGTCGGTCACCTGGTCACGGGGGGAGATATGGGGAGATATGGGGGAGATATGGGGGAGATATGGGGAGATATGGGGAGATATGGGGGAGATATGGGGGAGATATGGGGAGATATGGGGGAGATATGGGGAGATATGGGGAGATATGAGGGAGATATGGGGAGATATGGTGAGATGTGGGGGAGATATGGGGAGATATGGGGAGAGATTGGGACCGCCAGGCGAGAGATGGGGAGAGATGGGGAGAGATGGGGAGAGATGGGGAGAGATCACCGTCAGGCGAGACAGCGTCGCGAGCAGCTCCGAGAGCGGGCCAGCCGACGCCCCCAGCGGCGAGCGCGCCGCCTCGAGCAGCAGCGGCAGCAAGCCCAACTCGACGGCCGCCTTTGCGTGCTCGTGGCCCTTTGAGGTGCGAGCGCGCGCGTTGTCCGCGAACGTCGAGGCGCGCACCTGCTCAGATGTGGGGAGATACGGGGAGATGCGGGGAGATGTGGGGAGATGTGGGGAGATGTGGGGAGATGTGGGGAGATGCGGGGAGATGCGGGGAGATGCGGGGAGGTGTGGGGAGATGCGGGGAGATGCGGGGAGATGCGGGGAGGTGTGGGGAGATGCGGGGAGGTGTGGGGAGATGCGGGGAGATGCGGGGAGATGCGGGGAGGTGCGGGGAGATGCGGGGAGGTGCGGGGAGATGCGGGGAGGCGCGCACGACGCCGCACGCCGCGAGGATCGGGCCTTGGTCCGCCCACTCCGTGCGCTTGCCGTGCCTCCGAACCGCCTCCACCGCCAGCTTGAGCACTCCTCCGCTCTTGACTAGCGTCTGGCGGTGCTGCTCATGCACAAGCATCGCCGCGCGCAGCGCCTGGGAGATATGGGGAGATATGGGGAGATATGGGGAGATATGCACAAGCCGAGCGGAGCCGAGAGGAGCCGAGAGGAGCCGAGAGGAGCCGAGAGGAGCCGAGAGGAGAGGAGCCGAGAGGAGCCGAGAGGAGCAGCGCCTGGAAGCACGCCCGCAGCGGCGGGCCATTCTCGGCGTGCACGCGAGAGACGAGGACGAGGGCGGCGCAGCCGCGCACGCCCAAGCGCTCCCTGTTCTCCGCGTCCATCAGCAGCACAGTCAGCGCCTCGAGGACCTCGACCAGCGCCGCCGTCCCCGCTCCTGGCTCCGCATGTACCTTGGGGGACGTGCGAGGGAGAGGGAGAGGGAGAGAGAGGTAGGGAGGTAGGGAGAGAGGGCGAGAGGGCGAGAGGGTGAGAGGGAGAGAGGGAGAGGGAGAGGGAGAGAGGGAGAGAGGGAGAGAGGGAGAGAGGGAGAGAGGGAGAGAGGGAGAGAGGGAGAGAGGGAGAGAGGGAGAGAGGGAGAGAGGGAGGGAGGGGGAGGGGGAGAGGCAGAGGCAGAGGCAGAGGGAAGGGGGTGCTTACCAGCGCCAGCGATCCAGACACGAGCGAGTCGACCGCCGACGTGGCGCCGGCCAGCGTAGTCGCCTCGGCGGGCCCTCGCTGCACCTCGCGCTTCAGCGCCGCAGCCGCGTCGCCGAGGGCGGTTGCCGCGCCGCCGCGCGCGGCGAGGAAGGTCAGCCGCATCACGCCGCCGCCGTACAGGAGCTCCTCACTCTCCTCATCCTCGAGGCCCTCGACGCACGCGGCAAGGGCACGGGCGAGCCGGACGGCTGCGGGGTCGTCCTCCGCGGACGCGCCGGGCACGCGCCGCACGATGTTGGACAGGTTGATGCCCTGCGAAGTGAACTGCTCGACCGCGTCCTCCAGCGCCTCGTCGGGCGCCATGTCGAGGTCCTCGATGTTCTCCTTGACGGCCTCGTCGAACGTCTCCTGTGAGATGCGCGCGTAAAGCGTCGAGTTGACCTTCTCGTCCTTGGCGCCGCCGGCGACGAAGCCGGGGCGGAGGCCTCCCATGCTAGGCGAGCAACGGCCACACAAAAGGTCGGGGGCGTTTCCAGGTACAAGTCCGCCGACTTAATGATTTTTTTTTGTATATATGATATTCAACCGGCTACAGGGAAACGCAGGGGCGCCCCCCCCCGACCGAGCTGCGAAACAACGGCGTCCACACCGGCCGCCGCTCGAGAAGCCCCAAAATTTTCTTCGGCGCTGCGCGCCGTTGCAGTCGTAGATGTAGTCGAGTGTAGGTACACGTATGTTGCAGCCCAGCTATCGTGCCGCAAAAAGGTCCATGTGGCTAGAAAAAATGCTGCCGGTCGCCTCGAAAGCGCCCGCCGGTGTGTGTCCAAAGATGTAGCGCTACAAGTTTGGGGACGCATCCGACACACGGGCAGGTTTTCGCGCTTCTATGCTGGCCAACGGTGATGACGCCGTCGCGTCACCGACGGCTCGTGCTTGCGTATGATAGCAACCCCTCGTCCGACGGCAGCGTCCTCGTGTCCGCCACTCCGCCCGCGCGGCATCATTACTGTCCGCCTACACCACTGCGGCCGCGGCCGCACCCGCGGTGGCAAGGGTTTACACGCGCCCCGGCGCAGGTGCAGCAGCAGCCAGAGCACGTCTTGGCGTATACGAATGAATATCTCCCGATGCGTTCCGGGCCGCGAGCGGCCGAGGGGGCGCATTGTACCCACTCGCACGCCGGCACGAGCGCGGCGCCGCAGTGGGGCAAACGGGGCATCTGGGGCTAGCTCATCTATGAGCATCACCTCTGCCGCTTCTCGCCATCCCCGAGGAGCAGCGCGCCCGAAGCAGGTGAGTCACGGCCGCTGTCCAGCGAGCGCGGCGGCGGGCCTGAGGGAACCTCAAGGAGTAAATAGAAGTTCGAGATTCGAATCCTATTTGACAAATGGGGTGAGCTGGAAGTGACGGGAGTACACGGAGCGTAGCGGAGTGGGCCCCGAGTTTGAAAAGGGCGACGGACGCTTGCGTCCTAGCCTCCAACAACGCCTCCCCGGCGCAGAGGGGCCCCCGGAGGGATGCACAACCGCTCCACGCCACGCCGCTTGCGGCGGTCCTCTTCCCAGCTCCGCTGAGGGCCCGTGCGTTATTTTATTTTGTCACGGTGTTTGGCGCGAAGTCTTCCAATCGACTGGTTTTTACAACGATGGAGTGCCCCATCTGCCTGGAGGTGCAGGACGGGCCGCAGCACCAGTGCCGGGAGGGCCACGTCTACTGCGCCTCCTGCGACTCCAACCTGCGCGCCCCGCGCCGCTGCCCCGAGTGCCGCATGGCTCTCGGACCACTGAACCAGGCGATTCGATGCCGAAGCCACGAGGAGCGGATCGCGGCGCTGCCGGCGGCATGTTCGCACTGCGGGCTGGCGACGACGCGCGGCGAAGTCGCCGCACACGAGCAAGACTGCCCGCAGCGGCCGCGAGCGTGTGCCGCGGCGGAGGCTGGTTGCGCGTGGTCAGGGCTGCTGGCAGACAAGGCGGCGCACGAGGCGACGTGCCCCTTCGCCGTGTGCCAGCGCATGATGGCGCCGCTGGTGGCGGAGATGCGGGCCGAGAACTCACAGCTGCGGGCGGAGAATGAGCGGCTGCGGTCGCGCGTGGCGGCGCTCGAGGCTGGCGAGGCTGGCGAGGAGGGAGGGCGGCGGGTGCGGCAGCGCGTTGGCGCCGCACCGCATGACGCGCCGCCGAGCAATGCGGCGGTGCAGGCGATGGACGTGGCGGCGGCGACGGCGGCGCTGCGCGTGCACGTGTCGGACAGCCGCGTCGCTGCTGCGGCATGCAAGCGCTTGGAGGAACTGTGCATGGAGGATCAGAACGAGCAAGTTGCGGCGGACGCGGGCGCGATCGAGGCAATCGTGGCGGCGCTGCAGGCTCACCCGCAGGAGGCGGAGGTGCAGGCGGAAGGCTGCGCGGCGCTGACCAACGTGTGCTTCGTCAACGACGCCGCAGGGCGCGCACGCAAGCAGCGCGCAGTAGCCGCGGGCGCGATCGAGGCGGTCGTGGCAGCGCTGCAGGCTCACCCACAGGTGGCGGGCTTGCAACAGCGTGGCTGCGCGGCGCTGACCAACGTGTGCTCCGGCGACGACGCCGCAGGGCGCGCACGCAAGCAGCGCGCAGTAGCCGCGGGCGCGATCGAGGCGGTCCTGGCAGCGCTGCAGGCTCACCCACAGGTGGCGGGCTTGCAACAGCGTGGCTGCGCGGCGCTGGGCAACGTGTGCTCCGGCGACGACGCCGCAGGGCCGGCACGCATACAGCGCGCAGCCGACGCGGGCGCGATCGAGGCGGTGGTGGCGGCGCTGCAGGCTCACCCGCAGGTGGAGGGGGTGCAACAGCATATCTGTGCGGCGCTGGTCAACGTGTGCTCCGGCACCGACGCCGCGGGGCGCGCACGCAGCCAGCGCGCAGCAGACGCGGGCGCGATCGAGGCGGTCGTGGCAGCGCTGCAGGCTCACCCGCAGGAGGCGGGCGTGCAACAGCATGGCTGCGCGGCGCTGGGCAACGTGTGCTACGGCGACGACGCCGTAGGGCTCGCACGCAAGCAGCGCGCAGCCGACGCGGGTGCGATTGAGGCAGTAGTGGCGGCGATGCAGGCTCTCCCGGAAGTGGAGGAAGTGCAGGAAATGGGTTGCTGGGCGCTGCGCAACGTGTGCTTCGGCACCGACGCCTCGGCGCGGGCGCGGAGGCAGCGTGCTGTGACTGCACGCGCGCCCGAGGCGGCGACAGCGGCGCTGCAGGCGCACCCAGAGAACGCAGCTGTCCAGGAGGAAGGACAGCAGCTGCGCGACTTGCTTGTCTGATGCATCGAAAGGCTTGGCACGCGCCGTTTCTCTCAATTGGAGGCTTACGCTGCAATGCAATCGCCTGGATTACCGTAGATTGAGGGAGCGCGAGAGGGGATTGCGCGCGCCGCTCTGTATACTGAGGTGCTTACAACCCTTGGCGTCGGCTCTAGGGAGCGTACAAGTCGAGGGCTCCGAATAGTCCACACACCCTGTTTGTATATTGTATACAATATTTCGTAACTCTTCGTAGTACGTCTCGCGTCTGTCGCAGGGCGCACGAGGCCATCCCAAGAGTGTGCATGCCAAGGACTAGTTGTGCAAAAAGTCTGTCGTGCAAAACCTCCGCCGCCTAAAACTGCGAAAAATGTGCTGTCACGGCCAGCTCGGCACTTATCTACTCAAAAAAAGTGACGTAGAGCACCCACTTTTTAAGCGTTCCGTGCACACACAAGGTCCGTGTGCGTGCGGACCGCCAGCTTCTCAAGGCCATCGCGCGAAAAACGACGGAGGAGATGCATCCTAGCTGTCGCCACCGAAGGCGACTCGACGTCGCTGAGATCGGAGATCAAGCTCTGACAGGTCACACATCGCTCCTTTGACGCCGACGTGACTCACCCGTGCAGAGCGCATCAGGGCACGGTCTCGACGCGCTCGGTACGACGCCTGCGCCCCGTCTCGGGTCAGGTGGCACGACGCTCATCGCGCCAGCCAGCGCTGCCGTGCAGGCTGCCACGACGAGGTCGAGCACGCTTCTATACGCTCGCCCAGCCTTCCTTTCCATCCCATTAGGCAGCCTGGGAACGGTGGCGGTCAGAGGCAAAGCCTACGAGGGGTGGTGGAACCACATGTCACGGTCACCGCCGGCTCGACGCGACGATAGCCTCCGAAGGCTGACTTTGCGGCACCACCATCGGACGATGTCGACGAGTTGGGTCGCTCTCGCGGTAGCCAGGTAGCCCCCCATACTAGTAGCACCAGCCATGGCCTCAGGGAGAGCGGGCGAGGGCGCTGGGAGCAACACGGACAAAAAACCATCAAAATTCATCATGTTCACACCACCCGTATTTGCAACTAGTCCAAGACACCCCCGGGGGGCATCCCAAGAGTGTGCTCGAGTCATGCCAAGACACGCACAAGAAAGATTGACGAAACTCTAGGTGGGCACGGACTGGCGCGCACTGGCACTAACAGAGGAAGAATTTTCATCAGGCGTCTTCTTCGCTGTTTGTTCACAGCACGCCACTAGGGAACCTACACCACGGTTCCCTCGGGCCGCCTCGTGAATTGATTGATTGATTCGTGAATAAAGGGGAATTTTCATACCAGAGCTGGAGGCCCCAACCACGTCGACTACGACTTTGTGCGCATCATCACCGACAGCGAACGTGGCTCCAAGTGCCTCCTTAACTACTTCACCGCATTCTCGTGGGGCGTCGAGCACCCTCGGCTACAGCAGCTCGACGCCGACCTCAAAGCCTTGTGCCTCGTCAAGGAAGACGGCTCCCTCCGCCCCCTCGGCATGTGCAGCATCATGCCGCGGTCGGCTGAGCGCTGCATACACAACGCGGAACGCATCTCCATCGCTTCGGTGAAGGGGGTGAACCGTGCCATCCTCGATCGCCGTGCTAAGCTCGCTTCCGAGCTCTCACGCCGCGCGTAGGGCCCCTAGGGGCCTAGAGAACACAACCCCCTCTCTCTTTTCTCCCAGTAAGCTAAAAGTACGTACGTACCCGAGCAGACGCGCGGAGAGGTTTCGACACGCGCACTTCGTGGAGCTGCAGGTTGTAGACAACCGGTTTTGAGGCTACTTTTGTCGCAGCTGCCGCGCGTGCGTGCTGCGTGCGCGACCCACCTGTGCTTGCCGCAAGCGGCTGATATGCCTGCCTTGCTGCTCTCACTGCTCACCTCTGCGGTGGCCGGCCCCAGCCTTGACGTCACCCCTTGGAACTCCACAACGGACCGCCTCCTCCTCTACACCCTCGGCAAGACTGGCAGCACATCCCTCGAGCTTGCGTTCGGCTGCCTAACTGGTAGACCGCGGCTACCTTTCGTGCGGAACGATGATCAGTATTTGGCGTTGGAGGCCCCTCCGCGCGGCTTCAAGACGCACGTGGCTTCAGTGGCTCAGCGGATGGTGGAGATGGTACGACCGCAAGATACAAACTTATGGATGATCATCCCAGCGATCGCCACGCCTTTTACAATCTCGTCGAGCAGATGGACTCGCGCCGCTCCTCGGGCGCAACTCCCGGACCCTTCAACCCGGTCTACCCCGGCGGCGACCGCACGGGCGAGAAGGCAGCAGTGTTTGCGCAGCTCCGCGCGCGCTTCCTTCCTCGCGACAAGCTGCAGAACCAGAACATCATGCTCGCGCTGCACGGCTGCTCGCACGAGGTCTCCGACAGCGTGTGTAGAGATGGATTCGCCGTCGTGCCCTACCGCGACTTGACCACCTACGCCGAGTACGCTTGCCGCTACGCCACGGGCGAGTTCAAGGAGCAGCGCAACCCGCCAAACTCCGCCGGCGAGCACGTCCTCATCGCCGCGTTCGTCGCTCCTGGAATGGTGTACCCGGTGAGCCGCAAGCCTGACTACACGCGACCCAGCAATTTGACGAGCAGCAGCAAGCTCAAAGATCGAGCGCTGCAACCGCAGTTCAACTCGCACTACGCGTTCGTCTCGGCGGCGCACAACTACGAGTGCATGGACGGCGCGCGCGACGGGGCCGTCATGGACTATGACGAGCTCGTGTGCGAAATACCGCAGCAGGCGCTTCCCGCGTACCGCCTGTACTTCCGCGCGCCCTGATCCGGCGGCGAGCGCGGACCCTAGTCCAACAAGGACCCTAGTCCAATAACCAACCAGTACGTTGCCGTCCTGTCAGTAGGTCTTGGGTCCAAGTCCAAGTAGTTACCACAAATTCGTACAATTAATTGTGGGTACAAGCGAACCGGTAAGGAAGTTGTGAAATTCTTTCCGGTCTGCTTTTCTGTGAGAGGGGCTTGTATTGTTAGACAATGTATTTTTTTTGAGCTTAGCCTTCGATGTTATGAAACAAACGCAAGGCGGACATGGCATATCGCTCTCGGGCCCACAGACATCCCCCGCACACCCGCCGCCCCCCGCGCGCGCCCCACCCCGGCCGGGAGAGAGGGGAGTGACAGTTTAGGACGGCAACAGAACACGAGTATCTTGCACTCCATGTGCAAGAACGCAGGGTAAATGTAAGCCGGATGGCTCACAGGCCACCTCTTGCGCCCCGACTGACCGATCTACCGCACTGGCCACTTCCGCCCCCTTGCTCCCAACCCACCCATCCACCTCGCCTCGGGCCGCGCCGCGCGATCTCGGTCGATCTCGCGCAATCTCGGGCGATCTCGGGGCCGCGCTGCGCTATCTCGGGCGATCTCGGAGCGTCGCTCGCGCGGCGGCACACCTGCTTGCCGCCGCCGCACGATGCCCGCCAGCGTCTCCAACATCATCACGCGTGTCGTCGTGCCCCGATGCGCCCCTCTCGCGATCACCCTGTGGCCTCTCCCGTTCAGTGAACAGACGGCGGGGCGCGACAAAAGAGAAAACACAACGTGCGCACAACTCAATCAACTGCCGTACATTGACGGTACATGACATGCCACAGCCCGTCACAGCTGCACGTAAAGGCATCAGGTCCCCCCTCAAGACCCCGGAACCCCCCCTCCCCCCTCCTGCGAGCTGCGTGCACCCACCCACCGCAGGGCCCCAACCCACCCCATCAGGGTTTGGTCGCCGCCGGTCCGTCTAGAGACTCTGTGTGTGGGCGTACGTAGACAGCCGCGGGCCATCATCCACGTTGGCACCGTCAGCCTGACCATCGTCGTCGTCTTCAGCGGCTGACACTGATGCGGTCGGCGCGATGCTCGCGCCTTTCGACTTGCGCGATGAGAGATGGCCCGACGGGGCCGAGTCGGGCAGGGGCTGCAGCTCCGGTGGCGGTGCCTCCTCCGTACTGCCGTGCGACACGCTCGCCAGCAGCTCGACGACCACCACGCCGCCCTCGATCCGCTTGGCCGGCGCGCCGCCCGCCCCCTCCTGCACCTCGAGCCCGAGCAGCGGCGCGAAGCACACCTCCTTCTCGAACGGGTACTGGCTGCACCACGAGATGTCGGCGCCGCGGCTCCCCATCGTCTGCTGGATCTCGTACACCACGCCCGTCGACGAGCCGCTCGCCGCGTACGCCAGCGCGACGCTGCGGTCCGTCGTCGCCGACAGGAAGCCGAACTCGACGCCTCCGCGGACGCCGAACTCGTCGCGGGTGAGGAACTCGTCCGGCAGGCGCAGCCCCGCCACGCCGCGGTACACCTTCTCCGCGCGCGAGATCTTGCTCAGCTTGGAGAGCGCGTCGCCCAGCGCGTAGATGGTCGCCGGGTAGGTGTTGCCCAGGCAGAGCTTTTGGAACTTGCCCGTCAGGAAGGCGGAGCCGGGCGGCACGCCGCGCAGCACGGCGCAGTACTTCTCGAACATGGGGCCGGTGTAGAGGCGGAGGGCGATGAACTCGTCGTCCCGGATCGGAGGCACGCCCACCGCCGCCAGGTGCGTGTCCACCTCCGCCCGCGCCTCTGCAAACTCCTCCATCGGGCGCGGCACGCGGCAGTGGGAGCGGCGCGTCGGGTCGTCGCGCAGCGCGGGCTCGTGAGGCCACCACGAGTCCTGCTCGTCGGGCCCCGCTCCCGACGGCGCGGCCTCGCCGAGCAGGAGGGGCCGCGCCGACTCCATCAGCCTCGGCCCTTCCTGTGGCGCGACGACAAAGGTGTGCTCGATCGCGGACGTCGTCGAGATGCTGTAGTTGCCCGTGGTGAAGGGCTCGCGGGAGTCCGCTGCTCCGTGGTGCTCCTGCTTCATCGCCTGGAGAAGCGGCACCTCCGGCCGCTTGCCGATGATGGCGGCGAGCCCTCCGAAGAGCGCCGACACCTCGCCGAAGCGCAGCGCGGGCACGACCAGGTCCACGCTCGCCTCGGCAGAGCGCACGAGCGTCACTCCGAGCTCCGAGCTCAGCCCGGGCGGCAGCGCGTGGAGCCGCGTCGCCGAAGCAGAGAGCAGCAGCGTGTCCGGCGAGACGCAGGTCACCTCGATGCAGAGCTCCGCCGATGGGCCGTCGCCCTCACCCTCCCCGTCGCTCGTGCCCTCAGCCTCGCCCTCGCCGGCGGTGACGTTCACCAGCGCCGGCTCGAGCTCGAGCAGCGCGCACAGCCGCTCCTTGAGCGAGGTGAGGGAGAGGGAGCCCAGCTCGCCGGCGACGTCGAGCCGCGCACGCAGCGTCGGCTGCGCCTCCTCGGCGGTGGCGATGAACTTGCCAGAGAGCGGAGGTGCGGACTCGACCCTCGCCACCGACGCCCGGCTCAGCGCCGCGGGCGAGCTCTCGTGCAGCGCTCGCAGCGCGGGAGCGAGCGCGTGAGCCATCACCTGGCCGAGTCCTTCTTCGTGCAGGTAGGCGGCGAGTCGCTCCTCGCACTGTGCATGCTCGCCCAGGTGCATCGCGAAGGCCTTCTCAAGCGAGCTGCTCCACACGGCGTCGCACCCCTTTGCTGCCCACTGCAGCCGACGTCGCAGCATGTGGCTGAGGATGCCTTTGATGTTGACCTCGCGGCCGTCGATCAGCTGCTCGATGCACCAGCTCTCCGCCTCGTCGGGCACCTCTGACGGGCTCGTCGCATCACCTGATGCCTCGCAGGCGGCCAGAGCCTTGGAGCTTAGCCACGCCTCCGCTCTGGCGAGGTCCTCCTCCGTCAGCTTGGCATTGTGTGCCAGCGCGTGAGCCAAGTCGAGCCTCAGACCTTGGATGGTCGCGTGGTGCTCCACCGACTCGTTGTCTTGCGCAAGCAGCTGCACCTTCAGGTGCTGTGCCCTCGCCTGTGCTCGCGCTTCTTCATCTTCGACACGCTTCATGGACGCCGCCGCATCCTGCTCCGCATTGCTAGCAGCAGCCTCGGCCGCTGCCAGCGACTTCATCGGGAACACGCGGCGGATGCAGGGAAGCAAGTGCTTTGCGAGAAAGGAAGGGCGCGCACGCGTCACTGCATCAGGCGACATTTCCTCCTCCGTACTGCCGTGCGACACGCTCGCCAGCAGCTCGACGACCACCACGCCGCCCTCGATCCGCTTGGCCGGCGCGCCGCCCGCCCCCTCCTGCACCTCGAGCCCGAGCAGCGGCGCGAAGCACACCTCCTTCTCGAACGGGTACTGGCTGCACCACGAGATGTCGGCGCCGCGGCTCCCCATCGTCTGCTGGATCTCGTACACCACGCCCGTCGACGAGCCGCTCGCCGCGTACGCCAGCGCGACGCTGCGGTCCGTCGTCGCCGACAGGAAGCCGAACTCGACGCCTCCGCGGACGCCGAACTCGTCGCGGGTGAGGAACTCGTCCGGCAGGCGCAGCCCCGCCACGCCGCGGTACACCTTCTCCGCGCGCGAGATCTTGCTCAGCTTGGAGAGCGCGTCGCCCAGCGCGTAGATGGTCGCCGGGTAGGTGTTGCCCAGGCAGAGCTTTTGGAACTTGCCCGTCAGGAAGGCGGAGCCGGGCGGCACGCCGCGCAGCACGGCGCAGTACTTCTCGAACATGGGGCCGGTGTAGAGGCGGAGGGCGATGAACTCGTCGTCCCGGATCGGAGGCACGCCCACCGCCGCCAGGTGCGTGTCCACCTCCGCCCGCGCCTCTGCAAACTCCTCCATCGGGCGCGGCACGCGGCAGTGGGAGCGGCGCGTCGGGTCGTCGCGCAGCGCGGGCTCGTGAGGCCACCACGAGTCCTGCTCGTCGGGCCCCGCTCCCGACGGCGCGGCCTCGCCGAGCAGGAGGGGCCGTGCCGACTCCATCAGCCTCGGCCCTTCCTGTGGCGCGACGACAAAGGTGTGCTCGATCGCGGACGTTGTCGAGATGCTGTAGTTGCCCGTGGTGAAGGGCTCGCGGGAGTCCGCTGCTCCGTGGTGCTCCTGCTTCATCGCCTGGAGAAGCGGCACCTCCGGCCGCTTGCCGATGATGGCGGCGAGCCCTCCGAAGAGCGCCGACACCTCGCCGAAGCGCAGCGCGGGCACGACCAGGTCCACGCTCGCCTCGGCAGAGCGCACGAGCGTCACTCCGAGCTCCGAGCTCGGCCCGGGCGGCAGCGCGTGGAGCCGCGTCGCCGAAGCAGAGAGCAGCAGCGTGTCCGGCGAGACGCAGGTCACCTCGATGCAGAGCTCCGCCGATGGGCCGTCGCCCTCACCCTCCCCGTCGCTCGTGCCCTCAGCCTCGCCCTCGCCGGCGGTGACGTTCACCAGCGCCGGCTCGAGCTCGAGCAGCGCGCACAGCCGCTCCTTGAGCGAGGTGAGGGAGAGGGAGCCCAGCTCGCCGGCGACGTCGAGCCGCGCACGCAGCGTCGGCTGCGCCTCCTCGGCGGTGGCGATGAACTTGCCAGAGAGCGGAGGTGCGGACTCGACCCTCGCCACCGACGCCCGGCTCAGCGCCGCGGGCGAGCTCTCGTGCAGCGCTCGCAGCGCGGGAGCGAGCGCGTGAGCCAGCGTCTCGCTGAAGTCGCGGGTGCCCAAGAGTGCCGCGAGTCGCTCCTCGCACTGTGCGTCCTCGCCCAGCTGCTCCGCGAAGGCCTTCTCAAGCAAGCCTTCCGGCGCCTCGGCCACACAAACAGAGCGGCGGCCGCCAACGACCACCGCGCCACTCGCTTTCGCCGCTTCTTGCAACGGCGAGCGCAGCGCCTTGGCGAGGAGAGCAGAGATGCTCACCTCGGGGGCCTCGAGCATCTCGTCGAGCGACCAAGCCTCGACCGCAGCGAGCGGCGAGTCCATCACAGCGCTCGACGCTTCGCACACAGCCGTTGCGGTGCTGTCGATCCAAGCAGCAGAACGAGACTCTTGACTGATCGGAGTGGATGCACTCGCTGCCGCAACCTGCTCGCGAAGACGACTAATGGTCCGCTCGAGCTTGGCGTTTCCCTCCTTGCGCTTGCGTAGCTCCTTTCTCAGTACCGCCGCTCTGGCGGCGCCCCTGGCTGCCTTGGCGGCGGCCGCCGCCGCGGCGGCGGCGGCGATGGCGCCCGCCACTAGGGCCGCGGCCTCGGCCGCTTTGATTGCTCCGATCGACGCCGAGACCGCCGCGGCTGCGGTGGCAGCGGTAGCTGTTGCTGCTGTGGTCGCGACGGTGACGCTCGCGGCGACGGCCGCTTCCACAAGGGGTTCGGCTTCCTCTGGAGGAGACAGAGGTGGAGATGGAGGCGGAGGCGGAGGGGCAGCGGTCGCAACCTCAACCTTGAACTGGGCTGGGCTGCCGATGCCACAGCCCTCGGGCTCGGAGTCCACCTGAACCAGCAGCGTGCCGCCCCGGTGAGCCTGGGTCACGTCGATGTCCTCGCCGCAGGCGCACCAGTCGTTGCAGCAAGCTGTGCCGCCGCACTGCCCGGCGAAGACGAGTGTCGTGGCAAGACGCCGACGCCTGGCGCCGGTGGGGCTGACGCTGTAGACGCTGTAGGCGAACGTGCTGCTGGCCTTGTACGCCAAGGAGAAGTCTGACGAAGCTTCGCCCGACGTGTCGCTCTGCTCGATGGTGAAGTTTGAGCTTGAAGAGACCACAGTGACTACCCCGGGCGCAGGCGGCGGCGCGGGGGGCGCGGAAGGGGGTGGGGTGGGCGGCGGAGAGGGCGGCGGCGGCGACGGCGGTGGCGACGGCGGCGGCGGTGATGGAGGTGGCGGCGACGGCGGTGGCGGTGAGGGTGGCGGCGGCGAGGGTGGCGGCGGCGAGGGTGGCGGCGAGGGTGGCGGCGGCGATGGAGGCGGCGGCGAGGGCGGAGGCGGTGAGGGCGGCGGCGGGCTGGGTGGCGGGGGTGAGGGTGGCGGAGGCGAGGGCGGCGGCGGCGAGGGCGGCGGTGGCGATGGCGGCGGCGGGCTGGGCGGTGGCGGCGAGGGCGGTGGCGGCAAGGGTGGAGGCGGCGAGGGTGGAGGCGGCGAGGGTGGTGGCGGCGACGGGGGTGGCGGTGAGGGAGGGGGTGGCGAGGGTGGGGGCGGCGAGGGCGGCGGCGAGGGTGGAGGCGGAGACGGCGGCGGCGGCGAGGGCGGTGGCGGCGAGGGCGGCGGCGGCGAGGGTGGAGGCGGTGATGGAGGCGGAGAGGGCGGCGGCGGCGAGGGTGGCGGTGGCGAGGGCGGCGGCGGCAAGGGTGGCGGTGGTGAGGGCGGTGGTGGCGAGGGAGGTGGCGAGGGTGGGGGCGGTGATGGAGGTGGTGGCGAGGGCGGCGGCGGGGAGGGTGGCGGTGGCGAGGGTGGCGGCGGCGATGGGGGCGGCGAGGGCGGCGGCGGCGAGGGCGGCGGCGAGGGGGGCGGTCGAGGGCGGCGGCGGCGAGGGTGGCGGCGGAGACGGCGGCGGCGGCGATGGTGGTGGCG